TATCCTTGAGTCCCATGCTCTTCAAGCCTATCTGTTCCCTTATGCCACCCTATGCTGCCTGTAAAAGTTAGAAAATAACATGTATTTGAGGATGATTTATTAAGGGAAATAACTGATGACCCTTTTTATGCAGATTACAATTTATGTAAATTCTTTCCATGAGAAATAAACTGAATTTCGTTGCATTCATTTTGTTGCATGTTATTGCTTTAGGTTAGGTTGGTTTGGGTTCCTGCTATTCACCTTGCCAACATGCCAGTGGTATGAATTAACTGTACTTGAAACGGAGGCTGTCACATCAAACATGTTCTAACATGTTAGCAACAATTTAATATTGGTTAAGTAATATACTAAATATTATTTTTAAATTCAATTTTTCATTAATATTCTTATCTAGCATGTAAAAACGATTCATTAAGATCATGGTTTAATATACATTATCTAATAGACAGTGCAGTAGAAATATAACACCTTATTGTATTAAACTTAATATAGCATATTCTCCTGCCCTTCTTAGCTATATTCATTTGAGAATTGTAGTGTTCATAAAAATACTTTTTTTTAAAAGTATGTTTGTAGAAATCAGAATCTGAGCCGGTTTTCCAAATCCTGCATTTTGTGTGAGAAAAGTTCCATATTTTTCTATTGGAGAAAGACCTAAGAAAGTTTTAAGTGAGAAGTCAAACTGAGGAAAGGGAATCTTGGGATTTGGAAACACAGCAGAGTTGCATGAATCAATGTCTCATCATAAAGACAATTTAAGAATCAGAAACTACAAATCAGCTTGTCATTTATTCATGGACAAATAGTACCTAATGTGGTTAATCCTGAACCAGTATTTTCACATATATCTTCCTATTACAAACAGTTGTGCATTTTAAAATGTTCATTATGTTGTCTTCCACTGGACTCTCTCCAATTTGTCTACATCCTTTCTGTAGTAGGGGGCCCGAAACTGGACACAGTACTCCAAATGCAGCCTCACCAGCGCTGAATACAGGGAATAAACACTTCCTTTAATATGCTGGCAACACATCTACCAATGCAGCCCAGTATGCACATTTTTGGCTCATATTCAGCTTATTGTCCACTGTAACCCCAGGTCCTTTTCTGCAGAGCTGTTGCTTATCCAGTCGGTCCCCATCCCATTTCAAGATGAAAGTTATATCCAGAATTCTGCATGAACTTTGCTGGTTTTCTCTCTCCAGAATTTCATAATGAATTTATAATTTTTGTAGGACATACAAATCTGGTTATATTTGTGAACTTTGTAATAGGACTCACATGGTTCCTTCCTTTCTTAAGCAGTGCATTACAAATTCAGAACTAAATTGGAGTTTGTTTTCTCAAATTACTTTTGTCAGCCTTTATAAACAAGCTGTCTCTCCAAACAATTGTTATAGGTGTATATGCAGGAATTTGTCTCTTAAATCTCTTCAAAAGGGTTATTGTGACAGGGTGAAACTGCCAGGAAAAGATTAATGGCGTGTTGCTTGTGATATGACTCATTGAGGAGTTGAGGGAAGGAGTGTGGTCTCTTTCAGGGCTAAGGTAGTTGAGAAGAAAGGCCTTTATAGACTCCAATCCATGTTGGTCAAGGAATTTGCTTTGTTTTGTGTTGTTTGTGAGTTTTTGTGTTAAGAAAATATACCATGCCCTCAGACAAGTGCTCTTCACAGAGTTAGGCAATGCACTGGTCCTCTCCAGGTTAGATGGAGAGGCCCTACTGCACTGCACAGGCAGCCTGAAGATAGATTGAATCCAAAGGCCTAAGTGAAATGACTCATGGAAAAATGATAGCAGTAGCTGCAGCAGCACCAAATAACATCTTTGGTAGTGTTAGCAGAAATAATCAGGAAAGCCAGGAATAGTTTTTTCTTTGCCTAACAGATAACGCTGGCCTAGACTCAAGGTTTTTGGACATAGTGTATTTTACCCTGGATGAGGAGGGTATCTCAGTAAGATGCAGGGAAACCCTGGGTTATCCTAGACATTTTTGAATGTGTGGCAGGTGCCAAGTAATAGTCCTAAGGGGCGCTGCCATCAAATAGGGTTAGCTGAGTTTTCACAATGTGCTACAGATTTGACTTTGGCAGAATGCTTTGGAGCACTGAAAGTGGTTATCGTAAATTGTTTGAGCTCAGCAAGGAAGGCTACTGGCAACTGTTTCTACTGGAGAAAAATGTCTCAGGCTCTTGGCTTGTAGCAGTGACTTAGGACTTTGTTACACATTAATTTTAGGTGGCTCAGGGAGCTCTTGACCCCAGGATGGTTCACACATTAAGATATTAAACTAGTTTTAAGCACACATTAAGCATCTTAAAGTTGTGCCACTCCAGGGCAGGTTTATCTATTGTCTGTGTTACCCAGCTCATGCTCATAGCTACATATTAGTGTAACATGCAACCCGCTCCCCCTCCACCACTGCCCTGGATTGGGCCTGTTGCCCCTTCTACCCTCTAGGTTGGGTTGCCATCCCTTGCCCCTCCCCCCCACTGCCCTTCACACCCCTGCTGGCCTGGATTAGGCCTGCTGTCCCCCTTTGCCATCCATAGCTGGCTTGGATTGGGTCCACAGCCTCTCCTTGCTCATCTGGAACAGGCATCCCCCAGGGCTCCAGATTGGCCTCCCCTACCTGCATCTCCTAGCTCACCTGTAGCTGCCAGCACTGTCCCAGGGGAGTAGGGAGGGAATGGGAACTCACTTGCCCAGCTGCCACTGCTGCTGCTCTCTGTGCTGGGCTCAGCCCAGACAGCAGCTGTGGCTTGGTGGTGGTGACTAGGCAGGCGGGTTCTCCTTCCCTGTCTGGTCTTCCTGGACCTCACTGGCACAAATGAGTTGGGGGACACAGGGACATGGGTGAGCCCTGAGAGGTGGGGAGGCAGTGGAGGAGCCCAGAGGGGCGGGAGGGGGGAGCCTCAGGAATGGGAGGGAAGAGGGGAGCACCAGGAGGCAGGGGGCGGTGGGAGCCCGGAATGGAAGGGGATGAAGGATGGGTGGGAATTCTTACCTTTCAGTCCTCCAGGATCCTGCTTATCATGGACAAGTCACAGTTGTGCAGGTCTAGAAAAGTTAGAGGTTTTTAGCTTGAATGTGTGACTGCTTTAAACTTGAGCTAACACTAATACTTATTACCACTTTGAAAAGCCTAAGCATAATTTGTAACAAGGCCCTCAATATCTATGGGTTTTGTTCTCATGTTAAAGCCAGAAATTTGGTCCTCAGAGGTTGTAGCATTGGATCAGTTTTGTCAGATTTTGTCATCAGGGACAAAGGAATGGATCTGCTGCCAGTAGGTACCCTGCTGGGAAATACTAGCATGCCTGGTAGAGAATTTCCTGGAGGCAGAATGGGACTGTGGAACTACTGAAGCAGGGTCCTTTCATTCACTGTTAGGCCGTCTGGGAGTGGATGGTCATGGTCTGTTACACTGCCATTGAGCCACAAAGCCTTCTGATGGTGCCTAAGAAGGTAGAGATAGCAGTGCCCCCAATATCAAGTCTGGAGCTAGAGATGAAGGATCTTTTTAAAAGAGGGTCCCTGGCCAAAGATCTGGGACTATGCTTGATAGATGAGTATTAGCAAACCTTAACATGTCTGACTCCTTTCTTTTACAAAAAGCAAGAATATATACATATAATATTCAGTATTCTTTAGCCTGCTGTCACTAGCCCACTTGACTTTATGGGACAGTGGCTCATGTCTCCCACTAACAAATGTCTTTTGAAATCATACTTCTTTTGTGACATTTCTTATTCACACATCTAGCTTGCAAAGAAGGGTAGGAACATGCCTACTCATAACTCAGATTGATTGACAGTAATGTCTTCTATCATTCTTTTTGCATTTTGCATTAAAGAGTCATTGTAAAAACTCCAAAACCAGCATTGGGGGCAGAGAGCAAGTTGAATGTGGTGCATCACTTGCTAGGAGATATCCTCCTAGTGGTGCTGAAATACGTCTGTGCTATGTCATATGAAAAAGCCTTCTAGTGGCAGTCCTCATTACAGTTCTTCATGCAGGGAAGGCTTCATGGACAACAAGACTCAATCTCTAACAGAAGGGAGTGTTTGGAAGTTTGGAGAGAGGCCCCATGAGAGAGCAAGATTAACATATATATCAGCATATAAAGAGTATATTTTCCAATCCTGCATGGCTGAATCCTGGTGCTTGCTAGCCCACCTCTGTGAGTGGATGACGTGGCTCTGTGGGCCAGAGGTTGGGCATCCCCATTCTGTTGTTCTTCTGTAGTCAAGAAATAAGTGAAAGTTCATGGCTGACATTTCCTGAGGGGTGTCTAGAGCCTAAAGATATTCCATCACTGGAATAAAGGAAAGGGATTCCTTCTATCTCAGGCTGAGAGAGGTGAAAAGAAGGGCCACTGAGGACAGCAGCCCACTTCAATGAGGGGATCCTTATTTTGTGTTACTTATTTTCAGCTTTGTAACTAAATGCAGTGTGTTGCTTTATGAGATTATGTTGTGGTACTGGAACAAAACTTTTTTACTTTGTTAAATTGACATACTTTGAGCTACATCCTTCTTGGGTTGCAGGGAACTCTGGCAGATTGAATAATGTAAGCAGAATCTGCACATTTGAGGAATGCTCTGTAGAGACCATAGTTTAGTTGATCTGAAATCCAGTAACCAATGTAAGATTTGATTCTTCATTTTGATTATATAGCTTTACACTAATGTAGAACGACTTGATTCAGTGGAATTAGATAGGAATATTCAGTTTATGAAGTAGCAATCATGTCATAAAATATCAAAATATGTTTTTCAATTACACTTAACTGGATTTTGTTTAGATTATGTGCATCTCTGTCTCCCATCTCCTTCCTGTCCCCCATAGATATTTGGCTAAGTAGTTAATGATTGTTACTAGAGGGATAAACAAACCCACAATCTTCTTTCAATTCCTATCAAAGAAAAAAATCTATTGTTCAATATTTATTTCTGGTATTACTATTTAATTGTATATCTATATTTTCCCTTTAGGAAAAATTGGATGTAGGGATAAGAAAAGAAGTGGATGGAATGGGAGCACCTGAAATAAAATATGGTGACTCTGTATGTTATATACAACATATAGATACGGGCCTGTGGCTCACATACCAGTCTGTGGATGCGAAGTCTGTAAGGATGGGATCAGTGCAACGCAAGGTAAGATGGGTGATAAGAGTATGTTTTTTATTCAGAGATAACTGGGCACAACATGTGAAGAATGTGAAGAAAAATGTGAAAAAAATCATTATCCCAAATGTTTTGCACCTGCCTTTGTATTCTGATACAAAAATGTAAAGTGCTTCTAGACATGTGAAAATCAAACCAAGTATTATTGCAAATATTTTTGAATTGCTAGAAGGAATAGCCATATAAAAATTACAAGAATAGTAACAGTCCCATATAAGATATTCTTTTTTCCTGTGTGTTGTAGTTATGGTTGAGGAAGCATTTTAATTCAGAGTCTCTGCTTTCAGAAGCTTGACAGTTTAATGAAAATATCATCCTTTGGGCTAAAATTTTTAATTCTGTTCATCCCATAACTATTTTTTTCCTTTTAAAGGGTGATAGCCATGGTCAAATAAAATTTAATCTCATTGAACAAAAGGAGAGAAAAAATGCTTTTCACCATTTCAGACATTTTCTGGCTGCTGTATTTGTGCTTCCTTTTAAATTTCTAACTTGGCATGAAATTAATTCTCAATGAGGAAAAATGCCTGAGGTGTCTCTGAGGAAATAGCCTAGATGTAATTGAGTAGTTATTGAGAATAGCATTTTACACATCCACAGAGCACTATTTTCTGCGAGTGTTTTACATCATGGAGGTACAAAGGTAGAGCAGCTATGGGTATGCCTGGAGTAATGCAACTTGAAATACATTAACTAGTTATGGTGAACCTTCCAGGCTCTAAGAGCATCTATACATGTGCTCTGGCATGTGTGTGTGTGGGCAGGGTGGACTTTAATTAGAGCGGATTGGCTCTGGGAGCAACTCTCATTAAAAGTGCCTGGAGCATCACATGTATTTAGCATATTGTGCTTCAAAATGGTAGCAGAGGTGCTTTAATTAAAGCTTGTTCAATGAGGTTTAGTTAAAGCACCCCCACCACCATTTTGAAATGCAGGTACACTGAATACAAGCAATGCGGAGGTCGCTGAAGCGCACTAATTCAAATGGTCTAGCAGACTCACAGCAGACTTGATTGAGTTGGCTGTGACGCATGCTAATTAGCACATGTTCGAGCAGAGCTTTGTCACGTGTATAGGTGCCCTAAGAACCTCATCTTAATATTAGCTGCATCTCACATGGTCAATTATAATCTTTCTTCTTGATTTTCATCATAATCTATCTGAATTTGCATCCAATTTCAAAACTGCACTATATAATGCTGTACACTGAAAATTAATAAGTAGGGTGACTGCAGCTTAGCAAAAAGGTTGCCAAACTGGCAGACCTCTTTTAATACCATATTTCATAGATTTCAGAGACATTAGGGCTGGAAGGGACCTTGGAAGATCATCGAGTCCAGCCCCCTGCCCCAGGGGCAGGAAGTCAGCTGGGGTCACAGGATCCCAGCAAGATACATATCCAATTGACTCTTAAAGGAGCCCAGAGTAGGTGCTTGCATCATCTCTGGCAGCAGTCTGTTCCAGGTCTTGGGGGCTTGGACAGTAAAAAAGTTCTTCCTTATGTCCGGTCTGAAATGTTCTTGGAGGAGTTTGTGACCATTTGAACTTGTCATCCCATGGGGTGCTCTGGTAAACAGGCATTCCCCCAGATCCTGATGTACACCCCTTATATACTTATAGGCAGCCACCGGGTCGCCCCATAGCCTGCGCTTTTCCAGGCTGAAAAGTCCCATAGCTCTCAGCCTCTCATCATAAGGCCTGTTTTCCTGCCTTCTGATCATGCCTGTGGCTCTCCTTTAGACTCTCTCAAGCTTCTCTACATCCATTTTAAATTGTGGAGCCCAGAATTGGATGCAGTACTCCAGCTGCAGCCTCACCAAGGCCAAGTACAGCAGGAGGATGATATCCTGGGATTTGCTAGAGAAGCATCTATGGATGCAAGCCAGAGTTTTGCTCACTTTGCCGGCTGCAACATCACATTGGTGGCTCATATTCCTCTTGTGGTCAATCATGACCCCCAAGTCCCTTTCAGCCACGGTGCTAGCAAGCGTAGCACTGCTGAGCCTATAAGCATGCTGCAGATTTTTCTTCCCAAGGTGGAGTACCTTGCATTTTTCAGTGTTGAAAGCCATCGGGTTTTTCTCTGCCCATTTTCTCAGCCTGTGAAAGTCGGCCTGGATCACCATCCTGTCCTCGGGTGTGGATGATTTACCCCAAAGTTTGGTGTCATCAGCAAACTTGGCCAGTGCACTTTTGATACCATTGTCCACATCATTAATGAAGATGTTGAAAAGAATAGGCCCAAAGACAGAGCCTTTGGGGACCCCACTGGTCACAGCGCACCACAATGATTGACTTCTGTCAACTACCACTCTCTGGGTCTGACCTCAGAGCCAATTCCCCAGTCAGCGGACTGTGATGTATCCAAGGCTGCAGTTGACCAGTTTTTCTATGAGATTATCATGGGATACCAGATCGAAAGCTTTTTTAAAAACAAGATATATGATGTCAATATCTCCTCCTTTGTCCAGGTGATATGTCACCTGGTCGTAGAAGGAGATGAGATTGGTCAGGTAAGACCTACCTGCAACAACCCCATGCTGGCTATCCCTCAGGAAGTTGCCTTCAGCCAGCTTGTCAAAAACGGTCTCTTACATGATTTTTTCCAAGATCTTCCCTGGGATAGAGGTCAGGCTGATGGGCCTGTAGTTCCCCGAACCTCCTTTTCTCCCTTTCTTGAAGATAGGCACCCCGTTGGCCTTCTTCCAATCTTCGAGCACTTCACCTGAGCGCCACGAGTTCTCGAAGATCCATGCCAGTGGCAGAGCTATGATGCTTGCCAGCTCCTTAAGTACCCTGGAGTATGAGCTGTCTGGGCCAGCTGACTTAAAGGTGTCCAGCCTTTCAAGGTATTCCTTGACATGGTCAACATTGATGAAGGGTAACAATTCTCCTTTGCCCTGGCCGTCCCGTACTGTATTGAGCAGGGCCGTCCCTTGGGGCTGGTGAAAGACCAACGCAAAATACCTGTTAAGCAGGTTGGCTTTTTCCTGGGCATTGGTTGTCAATTGACCCATATGGTTAAGCAGGGGTCCAATGTTACCCTTGCTTTTCCTCCGGCTCCCCACATATCTAAAAAAGGACTTTTTATTGTCTTTGATACCTGTAGCCATTTGGAGTTCAGTTGTAGCCTTGGCTTTCCTGGTTCGCTCCCTACAGGTCTGGACCCGTGCAGAGTACTCCTCCTTTGGGGTGGATCCAACCTTTCATCCTTTATAGATCTTTCTTGTTAGATGCAGAAGCTCTACTAGTTCCCTGCAGAGCCAAGGGGGCTGCTGTGCCCTTTTGCTGCCTTTTCTCTGAGACGGGATAGACACTGCTTGAGCTTTCAAGATCACTCCCTTGAGGAGCAATCACTCTTCCTGGACTCCCTTCCCTTTTGGGTCAAGGTTCCTTAGGGCCTTGCCAACAAACCTCCTGGGCTTATCAAAGTCAGCTTTTCTGAAGTCAAGGACTTCTGCATTGCTGACTGACTTGCAAGCTTTACAGAGGATGGTGAAGGTAATCAGCTCATGGTTGCTGTCTCCCAGCTTCCCTTCGATCATTAGGTTAATGAATAAGTCATCCCCCATTGCCGGTACCAGGTCAAGTACCGCTTTGCCTCTTGTCGGTCCATAGACTTCTTGAGTCAGATAGAGCTCATCCACACACAAGGAACCTTTGTGACCGTTTGGATGAGGCCAAGTGCTCTTCCCATGAGATGTCAGGGTAGGTGAAATCTCCCATGACAACCATGCACTGGGAGTACGCAGCCACAGCTAGTTCTGTGGTGAATTCCTGGTCAAGCTCTTGATCCTGGCTAGGAAGTTTGTAGTAGACTCCCACCATTGTGACCCCTGTGCTGTGTTCCCCATGGATTTTAACCCAGAGGGTCTCCAATCATCCCCCCTGGGTGCCAATGTCAGCTTGCAGGGACGTGTAGCTTTCCTTGATATAGAGAACTACCCTCCTGCCCCTTTTTTCACATGATCTCACCTATGACTGGGCCACAGATATAGACAGCTATGCCCTGTACAGGAGTTGTCCCACCAGGTCTCCATTATCCCTATAAGATTGTAATCCTTTTTGTTTAGCAGGAGGACCAATTCCTCCTGTTTGTTCCCCAAGCTCCTGGCATTGCTGTACAGGCACGCAAGTGTCCCATTGGGGGTCCTTACCTTCCCTATGGATTGCTCTGGGGCTGGGGTAGGGATGTGGGTTCCCTTGAGTGCCTTAGCCTGATAAGTTTACAAAAGCTGCCCAGTGGGCTTGCAGTGGTGGTCGTCCCCCATCCCCCAGTGGGCACTGTTTAAAACCTGGTCAGGCAGGTGAGCAAGTCTGGCTGAGATGAGCTTCCTCCGCAGCAGAGTGAGGTGGAGGCCATCTCTTCCCAGCAGCCCACTGCCTGTCTCACCAATGAGTTGGACTGTGACTGTGGAAGCCGAAGCCTTCATGATGAGACCAGCGCCACAGTCTTTGTTTGACTACCTCGATCCATCTCTTCCTCCTCAGCCCATGACGCACAACTGGGAGGAGCAAGGAAAAGACCACCTGTGCTCCCAACCCCCTAAGCCCCGCTCCCAGAGCCCTGTAGTCTCTCATGACCCAGCTGGGATTGCTCTGAGTCATGTTATTGATGCCCACATGGATAAGGAGCATAGGGTAGTGGTTGCAGGGCCAGATAATCTTTGGGATCCTCTCTGCTATGTCCCAGATGCAGGCCCCCAGGAAGTAGCAGACCTCCTGGGCTAGGGGGTCAGGGCAGCAGATTCATAGATGTTAGGACCGGAGGGACCTCAATAGATCATCGAGTCCGAGTGCTGGGTTTAGATGACCCCAGCTAGATGGTTATCTAGCCTCCTCTTGAAGACCCCCAGGGGCTCCTCTTGAAGACCCCCAGGGCCTCCTCTTGAAGACCCCCAGGGATTGCCCCCTCAGTTCCCCTCAGGAGGGAGTATCCCACAACAACCACTCTGTGTTTCATCTTAGGGAGAGTAGGGATGGATGATCCTCCCTTACCTGCAGAAGCTTGCATATCTGCAGGCTGCACTGGGGCTGTAAGAGGTTTGTACCTGTTGCAAAGCCCCAGAGGGGAGGGGATCTTGGTGCAGCAGGCCTTGGGGCCCTGGACCACCTTGGTCCAACCCCCTGGCTGGACTGTATGGGAGATCCCCAAGTGATCTCTTGTCCTGGAAGGTGACCTTGGTCTACCCTCTGCCTCCAGGGGGTGAAGGGCCTGGCAGTAGGAGTCTATCTCCCCGCACCATCCCTGATGGCATGCAGTCTCTGGACTGCAGCCTGGAGCTCCTCTATCTGGTGCCCCAGAGACTCCAAAGTGGAGCAAACCTTGCAAGGGGAGGTGGCCATGCTCCCGGTCCGATGAGCCTGGAAACGTGCCAGGCAGTCCCCGCAGCTGAGAGCCAGAGGCTCCATCCGCGCAGAGCCTGGAACCATGGGTTCCATCTGGGTGGAGGCCTCTGAGATGCCAGAGGGGGACCCATGGGGTGTGGTGTGTGCCCATCCACATTGTGCTGCTGGTGGTCTGGCTACTGATGGGACTACTTTCCCTGGGGCTCACTGGCAGATCCTCGGGCCCTCCTGCTCGCCCTCCTGCACAAACTTATGCGCTAACTCATGCGCTGGGCACATAAGCATGTTTTTTTGCATGTCCTGTTCACGAGGCTCCTGTCGCGTGGCTCCCTGCGGGGCTGGGAAAAGTAGGAGCTGGCGGGGTGTGACCCTCCTTGGCTGCACTCAGCTGCCTCCCTGCTGGGCTGTGTCCCTGTCACCATGGGCCCCTGCTTACCTGCAGGTAGGCTCGCTGGGGGTCCTGGGGTCTTTTGGCAGGGGGGTCCCTGAGCTCATGGGAGCAAAGCGGGCTTTCACTTGTGCATGTTGCATCAGAGCTGGGACCCAAGTGTGTGCCTTCTGCCATTGCCGGGCCCTTTTAAAACAGCATATGTGCAAAAGGGCCCACTGGCGCTGCACTGGTCTGGGGGGGCTAGGGGGGTCCCTCCCCCCCACTGAAGGAGGGGATGGGCTGTGTCCCTGTCACCATGGGCCCCTGCTTACCTGCAGGTAGGCTCGCTGGGGGTCCTGGGGTCTTTTGGCAGGGGGGTCCCTGAGCTCATGGGAGCAAAGCGGGCTTTCACTTGTGCATGTTGCATCAGAGCTGGGACCCAAGTGTGGCTTCTGCCATTGCCGGGCCCTTTTAAAACAGCATATGTGCAAAAGGGCCCACTGGCGCTGCACTGGTCTGGGGGGGCTAGGGGGGTCCCTCCCCCCCACTGAAGGAGGGGACAGGTAAGTGCCCCCCCCCACCCTGTCTCATGCATCAGTGGCCTGGTTGTGTGGGTCCCTGGGGGGCTGGGCCAAGTAGGAGCTGGGGGGGCGTGCCCCTCCTCGGCTCTCCTCAGTTGCCTCCCTGCTGGGCTACGTCCCTCCCACCACATGCCCCTGCTTACCTGTGGGCAGGCTGGGATCATTGGGGATCCTGGGGTCTCTTGGGGTGGTCCCTGAGCTCATGGGGGTGCAATGGGCTTTCACCCATGTGTCTCACACCAGAGCCGGGACCCAAGTGTGGCTTTTGTCGTTGCCAGGCCCTTTTTAAATTGCGCGCATGAACCAGAAAGGTATCAAGCCAGTCTTCAGTCACCCCTTTAAAATGTGCATGCTATAGGGCAGGGGTGGCCAACCGGTGGCATACATGTCACAAATGGCATGAACAGCATGTGTGTGTTGTGTCAGATCGGGGAGGGAACAGGCAGCACGAGAACAGATAGGTTAGGAAGCAGAAAGCGGAGCAACAGATTGGGCAACAGAGGGGATTGGAGTGGCACTTGGAGAGGGTGCAAGGTTAATTTGTGGCCTGCCTGCTAAAAAATTGGCTCCCCTTGACCCTGCTGTAGGATTTGCAAATACTACATCCCAGACTGGAGAAAATGTGAATGGAACCTGTGGTCTAGTGATGTGTAAATCTTTGTATTTATTTCTATTCTCATTACCTTTCATGCTGTCTCACTTTCTGTACTTCAATTATTTTTCATTCTGTTTCTCAGTAAATTGCAGCAAGAAATCTTCAGCTTCTGCTTAAAATACGTTTGTTTCTCAAAATGTCCTAATGCTTGTTCTGTTCTGCTCTGTCTTCCTCTGTGGTGCATATGCATTTGAGTTTGAGATCTTCTTTGTCCCGCCAGTAGTTATTCACTGTTCACATTCTTTCTCCGTAACTAAACAGTCAGAGGAACAGGCTCTTAGATTGGTAAATCCTTGAATCAAAGACATAAAAGCTTGGTATTTTTGCATAAAAATGAGTATACAAAATGAGATTACGAAGTAATTATTAAATAAATACCACATTTGTTTGAAATTATAAGTAATTGAATGTGATCTTATTGTCAGATACTTTGTTTCCTTTTATTTTCTCTTTTTATTTTTAAACAAAAGTCATGGAAACAGTAACATCTGATATGGTTAAAATTTTATAGAAGCAATTGTGTATCTCAGGGAATTTCAATTTATGTATAATATTGTTTAATATAAAAAAATGACCTGGAACATTTACACTACAAAGGTTATGCTTAAGAATGAGTTAGATAACATGCACAATAGCTTGCTCTGATTAAATTTAGGGTCTCATTAATGTTCTATAACAAAGCTTAAGAGGGCAAATGAAACTCTTTGGAATCAGTGTCAGTATCAAGTCCTTTTTGGTGTATGTCTGAACTTCAGAAGGGTTTTATCTGTGTGGATAAGGGGGGAAAACTGATATTTGGGATAGTTCTGCTCATCATAGATATGGCACTAATTAAAACAACCAAAACTTGACCATGCATGCAAAGAAACCAAAGACTTTATAATTGGTACCTCAGAGAAAGCCATGGAACTGGCAATCTAATTTTAATGCAATTGGGTTTGCTGTATTCATCTTTGCCATTTTTCTAATCCATTGCTTTCTCAGACATATGGTGTAATGGTTTGAAAGATGTGTTCTTTGTCTTGCCATTACAGGCTATAATGCATCATGAAGGCCACATGGATGATGGTTTGACATTGTCCAGATCTCAGCACGAAGAGTCCCGTACAGCAAGAGTTATCCGTAGTACAGTCTTCCTCTTCAACAGGTTTATAAGGTAAGTTTTTAATGCTGTTTCTTCCTGTTTTGTCTTTTCTTGTGTTCTACCCAGTGATTATTTACAAGGACAGTAAGAGGCTTAGTATAGAGAAAGTATAGACCAGTATTTGTCAAACCAGATCTTTGCTGTAATTCTTTATCTGTAATCAGTGAAAGAGAATCTTGAGTGGAATTAGTCATTTTTTTCCATTTTCCAATCTTCCTTTATTTTTAGCCTTGATTTAAATTAATAAAAATGCCATAAGAATTTTGTTTCAAACTAATTGTATAGAGAAATTTCAGCTGCCAGATTTTTACCTACAGAGAGGTGCTTAATAGGCAAATAGCAAGCTCTTAATTTTCTAACCATAGTTAAAATGTCATGATTAATATCACAGGTTGATGTCTTTGCCAGGAAAATGAAATTCATTCATCAGTTGCTTAAAAGAGTGTAGGTACTCTACAGTTGTTGTCCATGGACACAAATTACTACAAGCATCTTTTCTCTTTATGTATTATTGTCGTTCTTGTTGTTATTTCTTCCACTAGTTAAGATTATGATCATGAAATACTGAGTGCCATTGCATTTTTGGTCAATATATTTTATATGGCCAAACTTCATGCCAAACTTAAGTGATTTATTTGTAGTCAACAGGAGAGAGTAAATTTATTTCTTGTGACTAAATATAATCTCCAAATTTTGTGAATTTGCTGCCCTAAAGTGAGCCCTTATAAATCTTTTTGTGAAGATGTGAAAGAAATATTTTAGATGTATTGTGTAGATGTATAGTTAATTCTTATGTCTCCACTTATTTTTCCCTTCCTCTTCAATTAGATCTCCAGTTCAAGTTTGAACTCTAGGTACTTTAGCCAGACCTCAGACTATTGCAATTGAGGCCCAGAACCGGTGGTTCATTTTAGGCACCCCGTGGCAGGGCCTGTGTTGAGTGGCACTATAGCACCTTGTTTTGGGAACATGACTCCTGTCTCCTCTGGTCCTTCAGGGCCCTTTCCTCCTGCTCATCTGCCATGCCTTGATGTTGTTTAAACAAAAAAAGGTTTGGAGGCTGCTTGAAGCCAAGAGGGCATTCAGTCCACTGTCCAGCTGCTCTCTGTCCAATCTGCTGTGGCCCTTTCTGGCTCTATTTGTGCCTTTGGACACTGGGTGCCCTAAGAGCTGTGTTCGTGGTCTCTGAGTGCCCCTATGGCCATGGTCATGCTTTGCAGATGTTACTGGTTATCACCTTAGTGGAGCAGCTTGCCCCAATGCAATGTTTGGCCTCTCAGGCCTCAAAGTCTTTGGGGCTTCAGCCTTGGCCCACTTCCTTCTAGCTGGGCCTCCTAACACATGGCCTACAGCCCTGGTCTCCTATTATGGGCCCCTGGCCTCTATCTCCAGCTCTTGCCCTTCCTGGGCTCCAGCCTCCAGCTTGTGCCCTTCCCAGGCTCCAGCCTCCTGCTCTCACCCTTCCTGGTCTTAGGCCACCTCCATATTGTCTTGCTTCATTCAGGCTTTGGCCCTCTTGGCTTTAGCCTGCCAGTCCTATGCCCAGCCCTGCCAAGGATCAAAACAGCATGCCTCCCAGGTATCCTGTGGCTTCTCTTCAACCCCTTTTAGTTACACTCATCAACCCCTTTTAGTTACACTCAGTCCACTGGTAAAATTTAGAACAGCGGTTCCCAATCTGTGGTACAAGTACTGCCAGGGGTACGCAGACAACCTGGCAGTGGTATGTGTTAACAGATTTATTATAATTACTTAATATGACAAAAGTTTGCTGGTGGTAGTTAACGTTGTATTGTTTTAAATTGGTGGTCCACAGTCTGTCAGAGTTTGGAAACTGCTGATCTAGAACATAAAGGCAAGCTGTCGTTTTGACAAAACATCCTCACTTTGGGTAAAAGTGCATTAGAAAATAAAAAAGGCAAGCTATCACTTCAATGAAAACCTCCCTGACTCTGGGTAAACACACATCCCCTGGATTCTCGCTGCTCTTCCCTTGGAGTGCCTCAGTGTCTGTAAGGGGATCTTATGTAGTTGCTCCTTCTGGAGAGCTTAGCTCCCTGCAATGCATTCCCCCTGCTTCCAAGGCATTTGGCTTATCTACCCTGAAGCGCTGCCTTGTTTGAGTCAAGTGACTCACTAGACTGCACAAAGGTTCACCTTTTGGGCTAATGGGCAGTTTTGTCTTCCATGCTTCAGCTTAGGTCTGCATGCACCCCTTGTCCCTGCTGCTTATCTACCTACACAGCAGGCTGGTCGGCTGTGTTTTACCTCCTTTAAATAACATGAATCTCTGGCTCCCTGTTACACACCTTCCCCTCTTCTTTTGAGCGCACAGCTGGGGTTATTGACCTCTCTTGGTCTCTAGACCCTTCTTCCCCTCTCCAGGCCATGAACTCCCTCCTTTTGAAGGGCCTTTGCTGGTCCTGCCTGCCCTCCTGTCTTCCTCTAGTACCAGGGCAGGAGTTTTCTATTACTTGACTCCTCACTTTCCTCCTTAGCCTAGCGGGAACATCCTTCTTTGGGATGTCCTCTACTTCATGTCTTCAGGATAAGAAGTCTGAATTGATGTTCTGTCTCCCTGGACAGTGCTCATAGAGAAATAGTATGATTGCAAGCTTAGAGGGCTTATCCATGTACATTGAGGCTGATCCAATATGTTGTAATAACAACATGCTGGAGCAGACTCGATTAATTGAGTCTTCTGGAGCATGACAATTACTGTGCTCCAGCAGACTCCAGCATCATGTGTATCAGTATCCCATGCTGAACAATGGCAGTGGGGGTGCTTTAAGTAAAGCTCATCATGCGTTTAGTTAATGCATCCCTTCCACCATTTTTCAGCATGGGGACGCAGATTCATGTGACACTCTGGGTGCTTTAGTTAGAGTGAACTAGGCAAAAAGGGGGGCATATAACAAGTGGAAACGGGGAGAGATTACTAAAGAGGAGTAGACCTCCTCTGCTCGTGCTTGTAGGGAGGCAGTTAGACAGGCCAAAGCTACCATGGAGCTGAGGATGGCATCCCAAGTTAAGGACAACAAAAAATAGTTTTTTAGATATATAGGGAGTAAAAGGAAGGCCCAGGGTGGAATAGGACCCCTACTA